CCCCATGTCATGACAATACATTAGCAAAAAACACTCTTGATGAGTGTAAGGAAAGGTTCAATATTTCACAGCAGGATAGAGTTTGGTTGCTATCTCCATGATGGAGAAGTAACTCAAAGTTAATTAGATGTGGTTTTATATGTGGTGAACCAACTTGAAACACAGTTTGAAAGAATTCCTATGAGAAGTAGGAATAATAATAATAATAACTGGATTCTAGTGTACTTGGAAAAGGCATAGAATCTGTATTAAGCAACAAATGAAAATTTGTGCATTGTGGAATAATCATCCCACCCACTCTTCACCAATCTCCGCCAGCTCTGAGGCTTCCTCAGGACTGTTCCTGACATATCTGAGAACAGAAAATAATGCAAGCCTTAATGAGGAAATAGGAGGAGAGTTCAGAGTACACATTCTTATTAGAAACCTGGTTTCTAGAAATAAGAGTTAAATGTGTTCTAAAAACTGTTTAAAATAAGAGAGTTTACTTACAAACTGGTCAGGGCTCTTTTCCCTCAAATGTTATTCTGAGTGTATTTGCTTGTTGGTTGGTTTAGTTGGTTACTTTTCAGTTGGTGGTGGTGGTTCTGTTTGAGATAGGGTCTACACTGTTGTCCAGCCCGCGGCCCATTGTGGCTCTGACCTGGAGCTTCTCCTGCCTCGCCCTCGTAGGTGCTGCAGTTGGAGGTGAGAGCCACTGCATACAGTCTTAGGTGCTGCAGTTGGAGGTGAGAGCCACTGCATACAGCTGGATGTTTTCTTTTTCTTTCTTCTTTAAAAACAATAATTACTGTTTGCCAGGAAGTTTGTCTTCTGTCTGGGCTAACATATACTTAGGTACAAAACCGTGAGAAACAGTCAGACACATTAAATCAAGTTTGAGTTCTGAGCTCTAGAGTTTCTTGTGGGTTTTCCCTGAAGAGTTTATGATTGGTTTTTGTTGTTCAGTTTTGTTGTTGTTTTTTTCCTCCCCCTGTTCTAAAAGTCAGTAACAAGAAACAAAATATCAAATACTCCCTACCATACACACACACACACACACACACACACACACACACACACACACACACACACACTCATTATCTGTTTGGGGGAGGTGTTTATTTTCAGAACAGGGTTTCTCTGTGTAGCCCTGGCTGCCCTGGAACTCATTTTGTAGACCAGGCTGGACTCCAACTCAGAGATCCCTCTGCCTCTGACTCTCAAGTCATCCACACAATTTTTTCTCCCTGTTGTTTAAAAAAAAGGAAAGGAAAGGAAAAAAGTAAGCCAGGCGGTGGTGGTGGCGCACGCCTTTAATCCTAGCCCTCGGGAGGCAGAGGCAGGCGGATCTCTGTGAGTTTGAGGCCAGCCTGGTCTACAGAGTGAGTTCCAGGACAGGCTCCAAAGCTACACAGAGAAACCCTGTCTCGAAGGAAAACAAAAAACAAAAGAGAATGAGACCACCTTCCTTCTTTTAATGATTTCTTATTGAGAGCAAATAGCTATTTATAAAGCTAGTTTAAGCACATTTTCGTCTAATAAATAGTACTACAGAATAGTTAAGTACTGAAACATAGTTATATTTGTATTTGTTCTTCTCCAACCTTGTGTTCCTCTGTCTCACAAAACTAGTTCTTTGAACTTACTTAGTACCTAATGGCAGACAGGACTTCACCCACTCTTGAGGTGAAGAGTTCTCAGGTGTGTGCACAAGGGAGCTCTGAACTTAATGCTTTCAGCATGAGATCTGTAAATCGACACGATCACACACACACTCATGCATGCATGCATACCTGCAAGCATGCTACTTCTAGTGTGTCAGAATGGACTTTTGCTTCTGGTTTCCTGCTCACATATAACTTGAGGAATGAATTTATGAGCTGTTATAGTTTGTCTTAAATGTGTGTTAGGAGTGACGACTGTGGCTGAGGATGTAGCTCAGTTGGTAGGGTGTTTTTGTAGTAACATGAAGCTGTGAATTCAACCCCAGCCCTGAATAAACTGGATGTGGTGGTGCATGCCTGTGACCCCAGCAGTCTGGAGGTAGAGGCAGGAGGATCATGAGTCCTTGGCAAGGCTAGGTAGTATCACAAGTTCTGACCCAGCCTGAGCTGCTTGAATCCCCATCTGGGGGAGGAAAAAAAAAAAAAAACAGAGGGGAGAAGTGGCCAGTAGAAAGATAGCTTAGTGGTTAAAAGCACTTGTTGCAATAGTTCTATTTTTTTCTTTCAAAAACTTTGGTATAAGAATACTTTGTGGAGACCTATGAGATGTCAGCAGGTTGAGATGCCTGATAGCCTGAGGTAGATTAAGGACAGAACCAAGAGTTGTCCTCTGCTGGACATGCTGGTGCACACCTGTTTTATCCCAGTACTCAGAAAGCAGAAGCAGCCAGGTCTCTGTGAGCTTCAGGCCATTCAGGGCTCCTAATGAAACCTTATCTTAGCAAAGGAAGGGGAAAGGGCCGATGGGATTGCTCAGTGGTTAGGAGCCCTGTTGGCGGTGCAGAGGGTTCAGTTCCCAACATCCACATGGTGACTCAACCATCGGTATCACCAGTTCAGGGGATCCAACACCCTCTTCAGGCCTCCTTGAGCACTGCACACACATGCAAGTGTATACATGCAGGTAAAACACTCATTTACAAATAAATAACTAAATCTAAAACAACAGTTATCCTCTGACATACACATACACGAACACACAATGGATAAATAAAAGTGTAATAAAGATTTTTTAAGACTGCTCTGTGTCAGGCATGGTGGTACATGTCTATAATCTGCAAGTCAGCTGACCCCAGAGTCTTAGAGTGAATGGATCAGCTGACCTTAGAGACTTAGACCGAATGGCAAATGCTTGTCTCTTCAGCCTCTTCTGAGGAGAATCTGAAATGGCAGCTGCCAGGCCCTTCCTCGCTGCCTGCAAGAACAGAAGAAACTTAAAATACTGTCTTAACTCTTGTAGCCAGCCTTGGTAGTTTGAGATGATGGTGTCCATGCTGGTGTTAGGGCTGAGGGAACTGACCTGTGAAGAGGGAAGTTCTTTCAGCTTTGTGCACCTGCCTCATTCAAAGCCAGTGTGTCTGCCCACGTATTTTGCTGGAATTGTTTTGCTATTTAGATCACTTATTTCTAGTGTAAATGGAGAGACTATTTGCATTCCTGCCTGTACTGTATAAGGAAAGGTTACTTGAACTACTAAGGAAATGCTTTTTTTTCTTTAAAAAAAAAAAAAAAAAGTTTGTCCTGTTTTTGTTCTTTAGTAGTTAGAATCGTTACTGATGAACAATAATAGCACAGCTGTGATCTACCTCACTAACATAAGACCACTTAGAAATCATTGAAATGTGGGCACAATGGCTCACACCTATAATCCAGCACTTGGGACAATTGTAGGCCCCAATCGTAGGGGTCATGGTGGAACTTTGTCTCAGGTAAAATAAAAGGTCCCTGAGAGAAAGAGGCCTGCCTGGGGACGGGGACTGCAGTGCCCTTCTGTCGGAGTCTGTTCAGGCCATTGTCACCTGCGGCCCCATCCCTTCTTTCTCCTTCCAGTCCCTTCAGCAGTGTCTTCTCTACCAAACATGTAGCACTGCACACTCTTCTGGTTTTCTTGTTTTCTTTTTCTTTTTCTTGTTTTGAAACTAGGCTAGCCTTGAACTCACAGGTGTCCACCTGCCTCTGCTCCCTGGGTGCCGGGACTACATGGGTGTGAAAACTCGCTAGCTGCACTTTGTCTTAAGGTGTTTGTTTTGGTTTGGTTTTGGACACAAGTCAGGGCTCCTTGAACTGTTAGGTGATTGCTAGGTAATGGGGTGGAAGAAAAGGAGTGGCCAGCGGTTGAGGGGTGCTCCTGTCTGGCAGATAGAACAGCAGAAAGAGACTCTTCCTCTTTTATTCCTCTGCTTTTGTAAGCAGCAACTTAATTGTTCCAGAAAAAAGATAGAGTTCACTGAGTCAGTACACTCAGCCCGAGCACTGAACACTGTTCACATGCGCCTTCCATACTTTCTCTGGCCCTAGGAAAAGTATAGGCTTGTTTGCCTGTTAGCAAATAAAACAGATGAGAAAATAAAGGGTACAGGAAATAAGGATGTTTACTTTTTCAAAGCTGCCCCACAGTACCGTTTTAAAAAGCCTGTTAGCTATCAAAAGAAAAAAAAGAACCCTGGGAGCCTGGGAGCTTCAGTTGCCAGACCGGTTTTACAACCCTGGCTCCACAGACTGGGGAGCTTGCTTGGTCCGGAGCCTTATCAGAGAGAGCTATCCAGACATCTTGGAACAGGCTGTTTGGTAATGTACAGGAGTTTCTGTGCAAACATCCATCATAAGCCATGAAATGATTCAAGGTCCGTAGTTCCTCTTTGTTCCTTTGTTAATCACTGACTTCTGGGGAGGGGGAGGTGCCTCCCGAATGTGCTAATGCATTCTTTTTGGATAAGGATGACGCAGGGATTGTCCTAATAAGGACTTAGATTGAGAAAGCACCTCCCACCCCCACACACACTATCCCCCACCCCCAGAAGATGGGACAGTCAGAACGAGGGAGGGCAGTTTCTTTTTTAACTAGAGATGACACAAGCATAAGTCATTTCCTTATTAATCGGTTTAAACCAGTTCTTACAGGAACCAGTGGTGATAAATGTGGGACTTCTCAGAAGTCATTCATTTTCTTCTTTGCGCCGGCACACCAGAGTGCAATCTCGGCTGCGCTGGCCTCTCCTGTGATAACATGGCTCTGGGCTCCCGTTCCTAGTTTCTCCCAGATAGAGTAATGTTGGAGATGTCTGTGCTCTAAGGACTGGCTTGAAGGAGGACTTTTTATCCACCAACAAGCTTCACAGGATTGCTTCAGCTCTGCTCTGATTGTTGTATTTTGTTCTTTTTATACAGTCCCTGCTTTTTTTTTTTCTTCTTCTTCTTCTTTTTAAGTCTGAAGGGTAAGTGGATTTTCTTTAACATTTCTCTTGCTTTTCTTCCCAAATGTCTCTTTGCTGTGGCTTTGGTACCTGCTTCCAGAGCTGTGCCCGGCATAGGTCCGTCTCTGCAGAAGCCTTTTCAGGAGTACCTGGAGGCGCAGCGCCAGAAGCTCCACCACCGAAGCGAAGTGGGCACCCCGCAGGTGAGCACCCTCTGGCTTCTCCCCCTCGGCAGCTTCAGGCTCAAATTAGATTCACTCTTCTCCCGATTTCTAGATGGAGTGAGTGATGTTTACCAGTCTGTTAGCATAAGTTGAGGCACTGTGTATTCCCCCTGGGGAATTTGTCTTTGTGTCTATAGGGTGTTTTCAGAAACAGGGATGGGGCAATGGAAGACAGCAGTCCTGTTGTGTGCAATGCTGTCTTGACCTTAAATGAGTTGTTACATACACTTCCAGACTGGGTTAGAAGTTAAAATCTATACCATCACCAAGTACTCGGTGACATGAGCATGGATATCCTTTTTCATTTCTGCTGTGGGAAATGAAAGCCACCGTTTGCTTTCTTCTTCCTTTCTTTCTTAAATAAAGCAAGGCCCCCACCACAGCTGAGCTTCTGACTTGAATAAACTAAGCCTGGCTGGTTTTGTCAGCAGTTCTGAGGCAGAGGAAAGAACCAGCCGGGATGAGTAAGCAGCAACCTGACCCACGAAACCTGAAAGAGGCAGTCGTTCGTGGAGCCCTACTGCTGTTGGTTATCCACACGTGGCTCACATTCGCATTCTAAAAGCAGCTCTTAACACTGAAACAGAGCTTACATTTCTTTCCCCTTCCCAGCAAGATCTGCAAGGCAGCTGTGGAGAGTAGACTAACAAGACCACTATTCCTAGGGCACAGTATAAAAAAAATAGCCCAAGTTAGCATCACTGTGCATCCAGCAGAGTGAACTCAGATGGCCAAGTGTAAATTTCAGGGTATCTAGAGACCCGGTTTTTAATTGTTTGAGTTGCCTAGGCAAACCTCAAGTTCTCATCATTTCCCTAGAAGCATTGTAAATAATATTCTTCCGACTGTTGAACTGAGGAAAGCCTTTTTCTTGAATTATTCTGCCTTCTTTCCTGCAGGGAGAAAACTGGTTGTCCTGGATGTTTGAGAAGCTGGTCGTCGTGATGGTGTGTTACTTTATCCTGTCTATTATTAACTCCATGGCACAAAGTTATGCCAAACGAATCCAGCAGCGCTTGAACTCAGAGGAGAAAACTAAATAAGCAGAGAAAGTTTTTCTTTGCAGAAGTTAGCATGGAGGGGGCCTGCCTTACATTGGGAGGGCTCCAACCAGGAAGGAAGATCCCCTCTTCCAGCCTGTATTGATTTTTAAAGCATTCTTCCTGAAGCAGTTTAGTCCGTATTTTACACTGACATCCTTTTCCTTTATGTGTTAAGGTAAGGTCTCCACCCTCCGTTCAATCCACATGTATTTCCTTAGGGTGGATGTGATACTCTGCTGCAGACTCAACCAAAATTGGCCTTCTGTTAACGTTCAAGGGCCACATGGTACAATTGGAGAACCCCTGCCACCCAAACATTCTAAAGTATGTTAAATATGACAGGCTTTTTAGGCTTGTCACAAATGATTGTTTTTTCTAAGTCATCAAATGTATATAAGTTATATATATTGGATAGCAGTCTTGCATGTCTATCATGGAACAATTGAATATGCCTTCCTTTCCCACCCTCAAAAAGGCCATTTTATGATGCATTGCACACCCTCTGGGGAAATTGATCTTTAAATTTTGAGACAGTATAAGGAAAATCTGGTTGGTGTCTCACAAATGAGTACACCATTTTTTATTCTGTATATTTAGAATGAAGTCGTGAAAACCTTTATAAAGACATCTTTGATCATTCCGAAATTGTGTCCGTTTTCTTTAGTGCTATGGTTTTTTGCTTCTTTTTCACTTCTGCCAAGTGAGTGGCAGCCTTGCCAAATATACGCACAAGCAGAATCACCTACGATTTCATGTATTGCCTCAGAGAGCCACCACCAGGGTATCTCGTTAGGCTGGATCGGGAGAGGAGGTTCCCCTAGCATGGGACTCTCTGGCTTGATGTAAACTGGAAGTAGTGATATATACATCAGAGGACACTAGTGAGAAATACTTTTCATGTTTGTGGTAGCTGTAGCTGTTTGTGTCCCACTTGAATAGATGGGAGTTTACTTCTGTGTGTTTCTGTGTGGTATTCTTAATGTGATTTTTTTTCCTTTGACATTTTTCTGATTGACCTGTTCATTTTGTTTTGCTTGGTAGGAGAATAAACAACTTTCTTTCCTAGAATTGGCGTTAAGCCCCGGCAGGCCAGAGACGCTTGCTTTGCTTTAAATCCTGCCTGGGCACCTCTTGCTTGCCAACCGTCGTGACATCTGCATGGCTGTACCACCTTGTCGGGTAGCTTATCAGACTGATGTTGACTGTTGGATCTCATGGCAACAGCAGTCGATGGGCTGTCTGACATCTTGGTATCTTTCATCTGACCATCCATATCAAACGTTTTCATTCAAACATAACCCAGCATCATGGTTTAGTCAATAATCGTGGTCCTTGCATCTGATGACACTTGAGCTTTCATGCCTTGGTACTGCAGAGAAAACTAACGAGGAAACTGGGGCAGTAACTATCATAACTAATCAATAAAGGGAAAGTTACCTTGCCTCATGGATTTTTGGAAAAGTTGTTACTTTGCTGTTTTTGGTTGGCTGGTTAGTTTTTGTTTGCTTTTTGTTTTTCTTTTCTTTTCAGGGACTAACAGTCTGTTACCTGACCTTACTTGAAAAACAGTGCCCAAATTAACAGATGGATTATTTATTTATTCATTTAGTTAGTTAGTTGAGATAAGGTCCCACTATGTAGAGCAGGCTAGTCTTGGACTCAAAAGTGCTGGGCTTAGACCAGTATCATTTGTATAGTCTTAGTTAGCTAACATCAGAATTCCCATGCTAGGTTCCCAATGTCTCTGCTCCTTTCTCCACCTATTTTAGTTTGTGTTTACTTGAAGAAAGAGAGGGTTAAGTATGAATTATACTTAGATGAAATCTTTGGGATTTATTTCTAAACTTGACTCAGGGTAGAATATTAGAGAAAGAAAAACTATTTCCTAAGCTAAAAATCTAGGAGACTAGTCAAATCCCAGACCCTGTTCATTTCGTCCTGGACCCCAGCTGAAGCGGTGTGATAACCCTTCCGTCCAGCTGCCTGGTTCCACATCCACTAGCATAGATCCAGCTACATGCCTCCACAGATACTGCTGCTTAGTTCCAGCCAGTAGGAGCCCAGGAAACCTGCAAGTGCAGTGGTGTGATAGTCCTGAAACTTGAGAGGGCTTGGGCATTCCGACTCCATCTCTACATAAGTCTGATTTTGTTCCTTACCACATCCCAGCTAAATGACCCATCAGCAGTTTACACCCTTGAGCACTACCGTGGGAATGGGAGCCGGGCTGGCTTCCATGGCTTTCTGGAATCTGCATGTATGCATAATCTGGATTGTGGAGCTCTGAGAAGGATGGTTTCATTTATTTGGAAAGTGGGCGCACTGTCCAGTGGTTCTCAACCTGTGGGTCATGGCCTCTGACAAACCTGTCTCCAAAAATATTTACATTACAATTCATAACAGTAGCAAAATTACATTTATGAAGTAGCAACGAAAATAATTTTGTGGTTGAGGATCCCCACAACATGAAGAACTGTATTAAAGGGTCCCAGTATTAGGAGGGTTGAGGACTACTGGCCTAGTTTCACAGGCTCCTAACAGTCTAGAAAAAGTTATGAATGCAAGTGGCATTTTGATGTCTACTAGGTATGGAAGTACATCCTGCCATGAGTGTTCCCAGTCTCAGCCTGTGTCCCAGCATGCTGTGGTCTGTAGCATAGGGACAGAAAGAGAACCCTGTTCACTGGTCATTCCGCTGTCACCCACCAAATACAAATGCTGCATTAAGCTAAGTAAGCTGCCTGCCGTGAATGTTCCTGTAACACCAGTCTTTGTTTTGTTCTTTTGCTTGTCTGTTTTGAGACAGGGTTCTCTGTGTAGTCATACCGCCCTGGAACTCCCTATGTAGACCAGGCTAGGCTCAAATTCAGACATCCCCTTGCCTCAGCCTCCCAAGTGCTGGGACTAAAGGTGTGTGCCACCACACCTGACCTTAACTCCAGGTTTTTAAACTGATAAGCACCTTATCATCAATAAGATTTTGTTTTTAATTATTTTTAATTACATATATCTCTGTACTACATGTGAACGTGTATTACAGTGTCAAAAGAGGGTATTGTGTGCCCTGGAACTGGAACCACGGGTGATTGGGAGCTGCTCAATGTGGGTGTTAGGAGCCGAACCCAGGGCCTCTACACGAGCAGTGTGGACTCTTAACTGCTGAGCCATCTTTCCAGCCCTCGTCTTCAGTTTTTCAGTCATCAGATTATCTTAGAGCTTGCAGAAATGTCACAGTGTATTCAGTCCACCAGGACCTCGTTTGCAGGTCGTCTGAGGCAAACCTAGGCTCCAGCACTGCGGGCGCACGCTGCTGGGGGGCACGCTGCCGGGCTGCATCCCCATTTGCACGTGCTCTTTCGGATGTCATCTTGACAGGCTTTGGAGTAAGTGAAGAGGAATATGTGACCAAACATCTCTCACTTTATTTTGAGGGGTGTTGTGCTTTGGAGGTTGTATGTTCGTGTGTGTCTATGTGCATCTTCTTTCCAGTACTAAGGCTTGGACCCTGGGCCTTGGCTTGCCACATACATGGTACCAATAAACTCATTCCAGCCTGAAAGGGTTTTTTTGTTTTTGTTTTTTGTTTTGTTTTAAACTACACTTTATTTTTTTGTGTGAGTGTACACATGCCACAGTGAGTTCATAAAAGTCAGAGGCCAACTTATGGGTATATTCTGTCTTCCTACCATGTGAGTCTGAGGTATCAAACTCGGTTCTTCAGTCTTGGTGCCAGGCACCTCCGCCACAAAGCCATTTCTAAAAGTTCAAGTAAGGTCAGGCATGGTGACACACCTTTGATCCCAGCACTTGGGAGGCAGAAGCAAGAAGATCTCTGTGAGTTTGAAGCCATCCTGGTCTACATAGCCCTCGGACAGCCAAGACTGCATGATCCTATGTCAAAACAAAACAAACAGTTAATAAATAGACTTGGTGACCCGTCCCTGTGATCTTAGCATCAGGGAATCTGAAGCATTGTAGTCTTGAAATGGATGCCAGTAAAACCCTATCTCAAGAAAGGGGGAAAGTCGGGCAGTGGTGGTGCACGCCTTCAATCCCAGCACTCGGGAGGCAGAGGCAGGCAGATCTCTGTGAGTTTGGCACCAGCCTGGGCTACAGAGTGAGTTCCAGGACAGCCAGGGCCACACAGTGAAATCCTGTCTCAAAAAACAAGGGGTGGGGGGTGGGGGGCTGATAGAAAAAGAATTTACTAGAAGGGAGGAAAAAGGGGATAGGGCCAGCATGATGACTGAGTGGAGAAAGGTGCTTGCTGCCAAGTGGTGGAAGGAGAGCCAACGCCTGCAGATTGTCCTTGGACACGGACACACACACACACACACACACACACACACACACACACTGAAGCTCACACATGTACCCACACACGTACTCACTAAATAAACATAAAAAGGGAAACAACGGCTTTCAGACCCTTAGAATAAACTGAATCCAGAGGATCTAGTATAGATTACTAGGTGGATATGCTTAAAACCACTTTTTAAAAAAAGATTTGATAACATGCCAGATCTTTTTGTTTTGTCTGTTTCAACACAGGGCTGCTCTGTGTAGCCCTGCTTGTCCTGTAACTCTGTAGACCAGACTGGCCTCGAACTCGGAGTGCTGGGATTAAAGGCGTGCGCCACTACACCCAGCCTGGTCTTTTTTAATGGACACAAATGCTGTTCATTTTCTGCATAACTAACTTGATTTGGTTTGCGTGTGCTGGTGGGAGGTAGCGTAGAGGGCGCTGGGTCTGCCTTGGCCTGTGGGGTGTTCAGATCACAGGTAGGTGACAGGCTTGACTTGTCACCTTTAATGTGCAACTGGGAATTAATCCAGTGAGAACTTAGGAACCCTAGTTAAAGCCAGTATCCTGTCCCTCATACTAGCCAGCGTCCTCTGGCTTTCCACCATGTCTTACAGCAAATGCTGCGCTGCACAGAACGACTGCGTCTGAAAATGCCCCTGCCTTTTAACACGAAAGAGGGCACATAATCTACCTCAAGACGCCGAGCGATCTCGGAGGCATCTATGCTTGGTTGACGGGGCGTGGGTTTCAGTCCCTTCCCTGAGGGCCAAGAGTTCACCTGAGGTAATATGTTTGCCTTGGAGGTGAGGCCTCGAATTGCAGCAACCAACCTACCAACCTGCATTTGCATGTTCAACCTGTTCCAGGAAGAGGCCTTACAGAAGCCCGCGGTACAGGGCTGCTTGTCAGGCCTTTAGAATTGCGCCCTGCGGCGACAGGCAGCTGCCAGCTGGTCTTTGACCCGCTGGACCGCACAGGCTCCTGTGTGGGTGTTAATACGAAATTAGAAGGGAGGTGGCTTTAGATGGCCCCTGCTCGCCCCTGGGATTCGTTTCAGATCAGAACTTCAGTTCTCCCATCAGGAGACTGACCCAGGTCCAGTGAGAGTGAGTCAGCGGCAAGGGGCTGGCTAGATCCGGGGACAGAAGTGCAGCTTCCGAGTGTTTGTTATCCAGACCCAGCAGCCAGTGACTCTTGAAGCATTGAACATCTGTCCCTCTCGAGGTAGCATTTTTCACGTGCACAGAGTTGTTCCCTTGAGTCTGTAGCAGTTGCTCTGTCTTTGCCTTGAGCCGGCTTAGGACACTCTTTAGGGTCCACTTCAGTCCTGATCTCAGTT